CCTGGCCACACAGCCTGTTCTGGATGCACTTTGGGGAGAAGATATAGCTCCAGGGGGTGGGGGTGGGGGCTTGCACTGTGGAGCCATAAAGACATTGAAGCCAGGGGAGGAACAGGCCTCCCAAGGTCACTCAGAGGATCAAGAGGGCACCTGCCTCCCAGTCCCCAGTTCCTAAACTACTGCCCATCCTCCTCCCAGGGCCACAGTCTGAGGATCCCCTGCCCACTATGGGAGCATCCTTCCTTCATTAGGGATAAGCAGCTAGGAGAGGTCGGATGTCAAGCTCTGGTCACGCCCACCGTCAGGTCTAAGGCCCTCTGAGCAGTGGAGTCTGCCCCAGCACAGTGGGCTTACACACCCTAGCAGTGGGGTCACTGATTCCTGGGCATCCATCCAGGGCAGCTCTGCCTGTCAGACTCTTCTCTGCTCTGAGCAGGTGCTGTCCCCCCCACACCCCATGCCCGCTCTGGCCCTGTTGGAGTGGTAGGCACTTGGGCATGTCTGCACCTCTTCCCAAGGCTCTGCTCCAGCTCCCAGGCCTGTCTCGGGTCCCCTTCCCACCTCAGCTGTCCTCTATGGGACAGACCCCGTCGGGAATGCCCACTCAGCGCACAGACGACCCTCCAGGTGAGCCCCGAGCAACCCAAAGCCAGCGGTCGGTCCTTTGCTCGGAGGCTCAGCCTCTGGGAGTGCACAGTGAGCTCACAGACCCAGTGTGGTGGTCCCACCGGACCTGCTGACCCCCACCCTGATGTTGGGGCGCACATGCCTTCAGGCTGGCTTACCTGTGACTACACCCTTTGTCCCCAGACCTCTGCCTACGGGACTACTCTGCTGGCCCCAAGGGCTGAGCTTTGCACTGACTCCTGCTGGTCTGGACGAATGCTGAGATGCTTGTGCCCTGCCCACCCTGGCCGGGTGCCAGCTCGGCACCTGGCAGGAAGCACACACAGACACAGCCACGGGCTGCCAGACAGGGCTAATGCTTTTATATTAGTTTTTCTGTAGAAAAAAAAAATCAGCTTTGAGGTTTTCATAACTTTTTTCTTAAAAAAAAAAAAAAAAGGTACCCAGCACTCCCTGCAGGCCCAAAGAGTAAAAGTGGTGTCTCCTGGGTGGGGCCGGCCCTTCCTCACTCAGTCCAGCGCCAGGACCTCCACTCACTCCAGCCCACGGCCCGTGGCAGGCCCAGGAGAACTGTCCTCTGGCCTTGCCCATCCGAGACGTGCCTGTGGCTGGCCAGGGAATGGCAGGGAGTGACTCCCCCAGCAGCTGGGGGCCAGGCGGGTGGGGCCGGGGCAGCAGTTCTGAAGGTTCCCGTCCCCAGAGGGAGGGAGAAGGAACAAAAGCCAGCTTTTGTGAGTTCCAGAGGGTAGTAGGCACCTGGCCGCAGAGAGCTCGGACATAACTCTGTGTCTTCTCCAGAGGATGGACAGACTGACGGACAGGCAGGCGACAAGATGTTCTGGCCACTTCTGGCTGGGGCAAGAGCTGTTGTGGCACAGGCCAAGGAGGGCCGTTTGCATGTGACTGTGTGACTGTGTGTGTGTGTGTGTGTGTGTGTGTGCGCATGCGTGTGTGTGGAGTAGGAAGTGTGAGCCTGTGCACGCCAGGGTGGGGTCAGGCCCTTCCCTGAATCTGTGTGATTCAGAGGGAGTGATGGCGGGGGTTGGGGAGGGTAGAGTTTGGAGGGCAATGTGCAGTGGGCTGTGTGTAGGTGGGTCGTGGTATCTGCAAGTGTCTGGCTGTGGCACAAACTGCAGGAAGGTGTGGGGATGGGAGACGGTGTGTTCAGCTTGTGTTGGGGGGCATGGGGTGCAATGCTGGATGTGTTGAGGGGGGCAGAGTGGAGGCTCACAGGGCACAGGCACGTGCTGCAGAAAGGGGTCCGACGTCCATCGTCCTGCAGAACATGTGGGAGAGTCAGGGAAGCCAGAGCAGACCCGCCAGCCACAACCTGCCTGAGGGAGCCCCTTGACCAGAGCTGGGAGCCCCCTTGACAGTGCTCTGGGGGGACCAGGTGACTGCGGGCAGGAGGGGAAGCTGCCCCTGGGAGCTCAGAGCCACTGGGAGGTGCTCATGCGGATGTGGCCGGGCCTGCTGTGAACGAGAGGGCCTTTGGGTCCCACTGGACTCCTGGGGCCTCGCCCAGGGCTCTGCTCCACTGACCTGACCATGGCCAAGAAGGGGCAGATTCTCGCCCATCCCAGGACTCCCCAGGCCCCTCGTGAGGTCCATGGCAACAGTCACCCCTGTTGCCGACCCCTCGCTCTGCCTGAGGATAATGCCTGGAGAGAAGGGGCTCCACCTTCATAGCCCTGGGCCCCTAGAGTAGAGGATGACTCCTGAGCACTGCCCTAGGCCTGCCCTCCACCCTCACACCACCGCCCCTACCACACTCCTCTCCCCACCTGTCATCCGCCCCTGGGGTCCTCACACCCCTCAGGTTCCTTTCCGCCCCAGGCCCTACTTCAATTCAACTTCCTAAGAGTGACTCCTTCCCAGAACCACACCCTGGCCCTGACACCCAGCTTGGCCCTCACACCACTCCCTGCTTCCACCACATCAGGCCCTGCGTGTGACCCATCAGGGCACTCACCTCCCTGCAGAGAACCCCCCCGCACAGGCCGCCTCCGTGGGCTTGCTATTATACCTGGCCTCCCACCCACAGCCTGGCGCACACCAAATGCTCTTACAGGTTTACACAATGATCGGTGACCCAGGGACAAGGGTGAAAAATGGACAGGAAGACCCTAGGTGGGTCAGGGAGAAGAAACTGGCAAGGAGAGGTGAGTGTCCCCCACACAGACCACCCACCTATGTCAGATCCCATTCACCTGGTCACTATCGCCTTTCCTCTTCCTCCTCGTCCTCATCCTCCTCTTCCTCCTCCTCCTCTTCCTCCTCCTCTTTCAATCGATCCCGGTCTTTGGAAACGTCACCAAACTCAAAGTTGCCTTCTATGTCCAAGACCTGCAGGTGCTTCAGCCTCCGGAAGGCACTTTCCACCACAGAGCCCACGGCCAGCTTGTTAAACCTGCACGGCCACCCACGTGGGGTCAGAGCCAGGAGCCCGACCCTCAGAGTCCCCACACTTACCCGCCCCTGAAGGGAAAGGGGAGGGAACGGGCCCTCCAGGAAGACGGCACAGCAGACACAAAAGGCAGGGGGCTGGGAGGCACCGTATCAAGGGGAGTCCAGGCTGTCCAGTGTGGCTATAGCTTGGGGGGGACAGGGGCTGACCCCGGGCCACTCACCCACACAGTGAGGGAAGGCTTGCCACTGCGTAAGCTCTCACTACAATTTGGGAACCTCCTCTCACCTGCCCTCTGGAATTAACTCTGAGTCCTGAGGCTACTGGGCCGGGTCACCCTGGTGCCTGGTGTGAGGTGGCACACAGGCAAGGCCAGAGCCACGCTGGCCAGGGGACACATGGGTGTGGGAAGGCAGAGGCTGGGCTCTGATCCCAAGCCACCTCCACTCTCTGTGCCCCGGTCCCCTGCAGCAGCCAAGCACAGGTCACATTCCACCCCAATGTTGCCCAGCCCGGGGAAGCCCCTGGGAGTGCACATCTACCTTTCTCCAATATGTCTTCTCCTTTCTGATTTAAGGGGGTGGAAGGTGGGGATGTTGGAAAGAACCACCCTGGCTCTGCTGTATGGAAGCTCCCCATCTTCTTGGGGAGCTGGGCTCCCTGAATTATTCTAAACCCCCAGAGCCCAGTGAGGACCTGAACATCTGCTGTCCTGGGACTGAAGCCCAGGCACAGCCCAGCCAATTGTGGACACAGCATATCGATGCTCTCTGCGCCTCAGTTTTTCCAGCTGTAAATTGGGAAGATGCTCTCTGGGATCCCTTCTTGCCAGTCACATCAATAATGCCCATGTGCACCACTTGGATTTGAACACTGACCTCTACCTGTGCGCTGTTCCCAAGGGCCTTGACTATCCTGCTAGAGCCAGGGCAGGCCCCAGGGGGCATGTGCAGGGCCACAGGGGACCTCCTACCTGAGAAAGATCCCCTTGAGGTTGGGTGTGGAGTCGAAGGCATTGGCAGGCACGGTGCTAATCTTGTTGTTCTGCAGGTACAGGTACTCGAGGGACTCAGGGAGTCCCCCGGGGATCTCTGTGAGCTGATTCCCAGCGATGTCCAGCAGCTACAAGGGTGGCCAGGGAAGTAAAAGCACTTAACAACTTGCAAAGACCCCCACTAACACTGCCCCCCAACACATCTAAATCTCACCATAACCTTGGGAGGTGGGATCTAAAACTATCCACATTTCCCAGACGGGGAAATAGAGGCTCAAAGGGTAAGAGATATGCCCAAGGCCACACAGCCTATACAAGGCCAGAACCTGGTGCACCTGACTCCAAACCCTTGTTCTGCCGGCTCCTTCTGCCCTCCCACATGGATTCACAGCCAGGATGTCCTTCCTCACGAACACACATGCCACCCCCATCAGCCTGAAGAGCCCAGAGGGCAGGGGCCACGGATCGTCCGGTCTTTGGATCTTGCCCTACTATCCCAGAGGAGGGTGGAGTTAAGGGCCACAGGGGCAGGGCTTCTCACTTCTGGACCTCAGGGGCCATATGGGCAGGGGTCAGTCTCAGAGTCACCATGTGCCTACATTCTAGGAAGCAGGAAACCAGGAAAATGGGATCGTTTTCCTAGAGAGCAGGAGACCTGGATACGCACGGCCCACCTCACTGCCCCTCCGCTGCCAGCACACCTACATCCAACACACACTCGTGCAGGCCAGGGTGGGACTCCATCATCTCAAGCTCCCTTCCTCACCCCAACAGGCAGGGGCTCAGGGTCAGGAAGCTGAGGGCCAAGAATCCAGATTCAACACACCATAGAGAGTCCCATCTCCCCCTCTATACACAGGGCTCCCTGCTCCCCACCGCGTTCCCTTCACACAGCTCCAGCACCTCCTCATTCATTCCACACATCCTCTGTGCCCCGGGGTGCTGGGGACGTGGAACCCATTGAGACACTGCCTCCACCCTCGGGAAGCCAGGCGGCAGGGGAGACGGACACAGAACCTGACAATGACAGCCAGTGGAATGGAGCCAAGACGAGGGAGCCTGGAGGAGGAGCCTGACTCAGCCTAGGGCCAGGGCCCCTGACAGCAGCCAGTGCAGGGAGGGGCTCTGAAGTAGTAGGAACAGCGGCTGCTTGTAGAAAGATCCAACAGTGAGAGGAAGAGTCGCCCCAACTGACACCCCATCCCTGACTGAACTCATCCGGGCCCAGGGAGGTATTTAACCCGCCCATCACTGTTGGCTTCTAGAGGAGGTGACACCTGAGTCCCGGGTATAGTACAGGCTCCAGGAGAGTGGTGACCCTCCATCTGTCTTATTCCCTGCTGGGCCCTCGGTTCTAGAACTGCATCTGCTCATGGTGGGGTCTCAATACAGACTCCTGGAAGGAGTGAACAGGCATCACCAGAGTGGACACGGTGCTGCCAGCACAGGGGCCGGGATGAGCAAAGCCCGGTACGCCTGGGGAAATAAGAAACTCAGCTGGGAAAGGGGAGAGCAGGCCTTGAAGGCTGTGGCAAGGATTCTGATCTGGGTCCTAAGGGCAGGAGCGTAAGCTGAGCATGTTTTTCAAGATACCCTCTGACTGCACATGGAGTACAGGAGTAGAGAGTTCCTAGGACGGTCAGGTCCGGGTAAGAAATGGAGGTGGGTTGGCTAGGAGTATGAGCCGCAGGGATGGAGAGAAGTGGACAGAGTGAGAGGTGATGGAAGGACCGGCAGGGGAGAGTAACAAGGGGCATTGTGGGGCAGACGGAGTGAAAAGGGGATGTCAAGGGCAGCTTCCAGGTATCACGTGGGCACCAGGTGTGGTGTCACCACCTTTAGTGAGTTAGAAAATGCAGGAGGAGCCGGTGTGAGGGAGAGGACAGTGAGGTTTGGACCCCTTGAGAAGAGGGTTCTGGAAAGTATCTGAGAGGGACTGATTGGCCCAGGGGGCTGGGCTCTGGTGCCTGGCACTGAGCAGGCAGTCTGGGTGAGGAGAGACCCGGGCTAAGGCTGCTCCTGCAGGGCCAGCTGCCTCCCTGACTCCCATCCTGCTCCATCCTCAGGGCTCTGCCTCACCTCCCTGCCCCCCACTCAGACATCCCTATCCTGACAGCTGCCCCCACAAGCATGGACTGGGAGCCTAGCGGGTCAGGGCCCTGGGTCCAGCAGTGAACACAACAGACTAAAATGCCGGCCTTTATTTTAGAGCAGCCGTGGGCAAACTACGGCCCGTTTGAAATGAATAAAACTAAAAAAAAAAAAAAAGACCGTACCCTTTTATGTAATGATGTTTACTTTGAATTTATATTAGTTCACACAAACACTCCATCCATGCTTTTGTTCCGGCCCTCCGGTCCAGTTTAAGAACCCATTGTGGCCCTAACCGGTTTGGCTCAGTGGATAGAGCGTTGGCCTGCGGACTCAAGGGTCCCAGGTTCGATTCCGGTCAAGGGCATGTACCTTGGTTGTGGGCACATCCCCAGTAGGGGGGGGCAGGAGGCAGCTGATCGATGTTTCTCTCTTATCGATGTTTCTAACTCTCTATCCCTCTCCCTTCCCCTCTGTAAAAAACCAATAAAATATATTTAAAAAAAAAAAAAAGAACCCATTGGGGCCCTCAAGTCAAAAAGTTTGCCCACCCCTGTTCTAGAGAAAAGAACAGGCAACAAGAAAACAAATAGATGGAGTGGGAGGGAGGGAGAGAGAGAAAGAAATATCCACGATGAGAGAGAGGATCACCGATTGGCTGCCCCCTGCACACCTCCTACTGGGGATCGAGCCCCCAACCCAGGCCTGCGCCCTTGACTGTAATCGAACTCAGGACCCTTTGGTCCCCAGGTGGATGCTCTACCCACTGACCAAAACTGGCCGGGGCGTCACTTTGTTTTATACATGACAATCCAAGGAGGAGACGTAAGTGGGTTACAGAAAATCCACTGGTGATAGATTAGGGAGCGAGGGAGGGAGGAGAAGGCAAAGGTGGGGTGGGGAGTGGGGGGGATCTCTGGGATAGGATAAAAAGTGAAGTGATAGAGATATGCTCCTTAGATCACTCCTTGCTGGAAGCCAGTCCATCTTTGCTGCTTGACAGAGTAGCTGCAGGGAAGAAACATCCGCACAGCATATGTTTCTAGGGACCTGGCATATATGGCATACTGTTCTTAATATGTTTGCTCCCCTTCTTAGCGCTATGTGTTTTAAC